TCTCTCTCTCACATACACACACACACACACACTCTCTCTCTCTCTCTCACATACACACACTCTCTCTCTCTCTCACACACACACACGCGCACACACACACACACGCGCACTCTCAATGCATAACATTTCAGAAAGCTTGTTGTGGTGATGTAGTCAAATGACGTGTGAATGCTGTGGTGTGATTGGTCCCTGCAGCAGTCCAGCAGTGCTGTGGTGCGCTTGTCTGCGTCCGGAGGCGTCTGGGCGGCGCTGGGGTCACTGCTGTACCCGCTGCTGTCCGTCTGGAGGTTCATCAGCGGATTCCTGTTCAGCAGCGCTCCTCCTGCTCCTGCTCCACCCGCCGCCCAGAACGCATTCGGCTCCAGCTCCGGCGCCGCCGCAGAACCACAGAGGTGCGTCTGTGTGTCTGTGACCTCTCTGTGACTCCAGTTACCTCACATTAAAGGGGTCATGAACTGCCTCTGTTTATTTTGTACTGTTCTCTGAGCTCCACTTATGTTATCAAGATTTTTACATCAAAAAACATCATAATTTAGACATAATGGGCTATTTTCTGTGCTGTTTTTAACCCCCTCATCAGAACGCTCTGTTTGAATAGGCGTGGAGGATAGTAGACTGCTGTGATTGGCTAAGAGTCCGTCTTTTAGTTTCAATGTTTCTGAAAATCCCACGTCGAACTGTGCCTTGTTTTGTAAACGAATCCGCGGTAAAATGAAGTGAACAAAAGACTGAGTTCTTACTGACAGGGTCTGGAACTTCATTAAAAATAAAGTTCATTCACTCTTTCTTAACGCTGGGATCAGAAGGAAGGCAAAGAATCGGAGATATCACGTTATTCACACTCACGTGCTGTGCTGCTAATTAACATTTAGTTCTGTTGTTTTTATATAAAAATAAAAATGATGAACAAGACACTCAAAAGTGCTTGCTATTTAATTCCATATGAAAGGTGTATTTATCATCCATTTTTACTTTAATACAAACATGTATTTTAGATTTTTATAGAAAAATGACAACAATCGCATAACTCGCACAGAGATCGCACTGTCATAGTGTTTGGGAACATAATTTAAATACATAATCGCATGGAACCAGATAAAAAATAAAACATTTTAGAAGAGAACGCAGCATCACGGTTGTCTGGACTAATGAGCATAAAGCTGTGTCTTCAGCCAGTCGTTTCCCATCATGCTTTTGGTCAGCGCAGTCGGTGGAGAGCAATCCGACACAGCCGCCTCGCCTTCGCCAGAGCTTTTTGGCACACGTCAGCGTGACATCAGAGCAAGTCGGACGTAACTCGGACACTTTTCTAACCGGCATGCATCTCGCGGTGATCACCGGTGATCGATTCTGCGCAGATTTTGCTCATCTCAAACAAGCCTAGTGATATTGATCTTCTTCTGCGGAGGCGGTGCTTATCCACACTATTACATCATCGAGTTGAACAATCCACGAGCTGTGGTTTTGGCAGATCGGCTTCAATATAAGCTGCTTTCAGACTAGTTGAGTCACCTTTATACCTTATACTAACAAGAAAGTTTTAAGTTCGGAAAGTTACAGGATGTTTTTATGGTGCAATGACCTCTTACAGTCAGGTCCATATATATTTTGACACGGACAAAATTTGTATTATTTTAGCTGCTGACCAAAACATATTCAAGTTACAGTTATATCATATGAATATGGGCTTAAAGTGCACCCTGTGAGCAAACACAGAGGCTTCACCACAAGCTGCAAACAAGGCCAGATTAGACTTCACCAAAAAACATCTAAAAAGGCCAGAGCACTTCTGGAAAAGCATTCTTTGGACGGCAGAAATTAAGAGCAAGCTGTACCAGAACGACGGGAAGAGTCTGGAGAAGGCTTGGAGCAGCTCCTGATCAAAACACACACATTATCTGTGAAGCATGAGCGGCATGGCTTCAGTGGCTCTGGGTCACTGGTGTTTAGTGAAGATGAGACAGAAGACAGAAGCAGCCGGATGAACTCTGAAGTGTGTAGAGATATACTCTCTGCCCAGATTCAGTCAAACGCAGCAAAGCTGATTGAGCGGCGCTTCATAGTACACATGAACAATGACCCAAAACATACAGCAGAAGCAACCCAGGAGTTTTTGAAGGTAAAAAAGTGAAATATTCTGCAATGGCCGAGTCAATCTCCTGATCTCAGCATGCATTTCACTCGCTGAAGACAACACTAAAGACAGAAAGAGCCACAAACACACAGCAACTGCAGTAAAGACCTGGCAAAGCGTCACAAAGAAGAAACCCAGTCTCTGCTGATGTCCATGAGCTCCAGACGTAAGGCAGTCATTGCCTGCAAAGGATTCGCAACAAAATATCAAAAATGAACATTTTATTTATGATTACATTTATTTGTCCAATTACATTTGAGCACCTGAAAATGGGGGGACTGTGTATAAAAATGGTTGTAAATCCAAAGCATTTGATATCTTTGTGTTCAAGCCCTTGAATTAAAGCTTAAAGCCTGCACTTCAATCACATCTTTGTTGTGATTCTATTCTGGTGGCATACAGAGCTGAAATTCTAAAAATTGTGTGAGTGTCCAAATATATGTGGACCTAACTGTATATGTCAAATAACCATCCAATTAATGCATCATGGGAGAAAAAAAATGCCTGTTTTTCCTCATTAAATATTCTGCTTTTTATGCATTTATCCAAACATTGCATTGAATCTATACATTGTTTGTTTTTAATCAATTTGTGCATTTCCTGATAATTGAACCCATGTTTTTGCTGTACTTTGAGCTGCAAGAATGAATTAAGTCACATTAGGGATGTAGAATGAGTTGTGATTGCCCTTGACTTTAAGTACTGACGCTTGTGTTCTGACGTCTAATGTCTGGTCATGTCTAAGTTATTTTACCTGTTGAACCTGGACGGGCTTCACATCACGGTGTATGCTGGATTTCAGAAAGGCTGTTTCTATGTTCTTGTATTCCACCGTATCTGATTGTAATGTGATTATTTCTAAATCCCGTCCATCCATTTTGGTCCATGTTGGAGGGGGATGAATGATTGCTGAGAAGCAAACAAACAAAGTTACAGGAAGAACAGTTTCTGTCATCATATATCTTCAGACAACTTACTGTCTGTCTGATGCTTACGACATCAGATGGTCAGTGTGGTGCTTTTTCTACCACCCCCTATATGCCTTGAGAACAGATTTGAAGCATTAATGAATGTGAGTGAGGAATCCCCAAGTGTGATTGAACATGGATCTTATCGGCCAGCAGCTAGCACCGCTACTAACAGGCGCTCAAGGTCGAGCACAAGACTGCAAATCAAATCATCATCCATGTGGGGAAGAATGATATTCGGAAAGAGCAGTCAGAACTCCTTAAGGACTTCAGTGAACTCTTTGAAACACTTTGATGACTTAAAGTTCAGTTGTTCATCAGTGGGCCACTCCCAGCAAGAGGAATTAATATGTTTTCACGGTTGCTTGGGCTGAACACATGGCTACAACGATCTTGCAATATAAAAGGAGTCAACGTCATCGACAATTTAAATTTTTTCTGGGGCCATAGACAACTGTTTAAACTGGATGGCCTCCACCCAAACAAACTTGAGTGCAAGAGTGCTAAAGGACAACATCTACTTCTCCCTCCGTCATCCTTCAGTAGTGTGTGCCAAACTACTCAACCTGAATGGCACACACACACCTGGACAGAGTGACGACAGGACTTCATATCAGCTTCCGAGTCATCATGTGGCTGACACATCCCACAAGGACACTGATAACACCACGAAGCCACAACAAGCACTGCTCATGGACACCATCACGGCTGAGCCCTGCCCACAGAGCTCATCACAGACAGACTGTGACGTATCAGAACAGCTCCAAGACTCAGCATCCAAGGACGACTTTCTGGAAAACAGCCAGGGAAGCCAGGACAACATATCACAGCCACCGGAAACGCCAGAGCCACAGCCCATCTCATCAGACGCATTATCCCTCTCTCCAGCATCAATCAGAAGAAATTGCAAAATTTTGGAAGAAATAGTACAGCAGCTTAAATCGTCAACCTGCAATCTTGACACACTTCCCACATATTTTTTCAAAAGTGAGCTTAACTGTTTAGAAGCAGACCTCTTAAAAGTGAAGAACTTTTCCAAAGAAAGAAAATGTGTAAATAAAAGACTACATAATTAATACTAGGGATGTGCGGGTCTAATCCTCTGCCAATGCATTGATGAAATTAACAGTTGGATGTGCCAGAACTGAAGTCATTGCGTTTGGAAACAAAAGATGAAGTTCTCAAGGTGAATGCATACCTTGACTCTAGGGGTCTAACAACTACAAATCAAGTCAGGAATCTTGGTGTGATTCTGGAGACAGACCTTAGTTTCAGTAGTCATGTCAAAGCTGTAACTAAATCAGCATACTATCATCTCAAAAACATTGCAAGAATTAGAGGTTTTGTTTCCAGTCAAGACTTGGAGAAACTTGTTCATGCCTTTATCACCAGCAGGGTGGACTATTGTAATGGTCTCCTCACCGGCCTTCCCAAGAAGACCATTAGACAGCTGCAGCTCATCCAGAACGCTGCTGCCATGATTCTGACTAGAACCAGAAAATCTGAGCATATCACACAAGTCCTCAGGTCCTAACACTGGCTTCCAGTTATTTTTAGGATTGATTTTAAAGTATTATTACTAGTTTATACAGTGGTGGCCAAAATTATTAGAACACTCTGTATATTTAAAAGGTTTCAGTTGTATTTGTTGAATTGGCCATTACAATACAATACCCATAAAACAAACTATTGCCGGAACTACGTGCGATGGTTGGAATCTGCTGGAACATTGAAAATGATGGACTGGCCCCCTTAAAGTCCTGACCTCAACCCCATCAAGCAAAATTGGGGAGAGTTAGAAAATAAACTGGACAGATCTATTGTAGATTCAAAGGAAAGCCTTTGGCTTGAGTTGCAGAAGGCATGGGATAACATTAGTGTTAAAGTTCTCAGGAAATATATTGACACTATGCCAGAGAGATGTGCTACTGTAATTGCTGCAAAAGGTGGACATACCAAATATTAAAGTTAAAAGTGGATAAAAACAGTACAACTCACTTCATCTGATATTTGTTGTGCTCAGCAACCATCTGCATGTTTCATGAACATTATGAAATGACATCATGTTTTGGAGGCAAAAAAGGTCAATATTTTCAGACCTGTCAGGTGTTCCAATAATTTTGGCCACCACTGTAAATCACTCAATGGCCTAGGACAGAGGTGCCCAAACTCGGTCCTGGAGGGCCGGTGTCCTGCAGAGTTTAGCTCCAACCCCAATTAAACACACCTGAACCAGCTAATCAAGCTCTTATAGGCATACTAGAAACTTACCAGCAGGTGTGTTGAGGCAAGTTAGAGCTAAACTCCCAAAAGTTTGGGCACCCCTGGCCTAGGACCTCAATACATTGCAGATATGCTCACTGAATAATAACTTAACAGACCACTCAGATCATTAGGATCAAGTCAAAAATACCAAGGGTTCATTTAGAACAAAGAGAGTCCGCTTATAGCTATTATGCCACCCACAGTTGGAACCAGCTTCCAGAAGAGATCAGATGTGCTAAATCCTGACCTCAACCCCATCAAGCAAAATTGGGGAGAGTTAGAAAATAAACTGGACAGATCTATTGTAGATTCAAAGGAAAGCCTTTGGCTTGAGTTGCAGAAGGCATGGGATAACATTAGTGTTAAAGTTCTCAGGAAATATATTGACACTATGCCAGAGAGATGTGCTACTGTAATTGCTGCAAAAGGTGGACATACCAAATATTAAAGTTAAAAGTGGATAAAAACAGTACAACTCACTTCATCTGATATTTGTTGTGCTCAGCAACCATCTGCATGTTTCATGAACATTATGAAATGACATCATGTTTTGGAGGCAAAAAAGGTCAATATTTTCAGACCTGTCAGGTGTTCCAATAATTTTGGCCACCACTGTAAATCACTCAATGGCCTAGGACAGAGGTGCCCAAACTCAGTCCTGGAGGGCCGGTGTCCTGCAGAGTTTAGCTCCAACCCCAATTAAACACACCTGAACCAGCTAATCAAGCTCTTATAGGCATACTAGAAACTTACCAGCAGGTGTGTTGAGGCAAGTTAGAGCTAAACTCCCAAAAGTTTGGGCACCCCTGGCCTAGGACCTCAATACATTGCAGATATGCTCACTGAATAATAACTTAACAGACCACTCAGATCATTAGGATCAAGTCAAAAATACCAAGGGTTCATTTAGAACAAAGAGAGTCCGCTTATAGCTATTATGCCACCCACAGTTGGAACCAGCTTCCAGAAGAGATCAGATGTGCTAAATCAGTAGCCATGTTTAAATCTAGACTGAAAACACATCTGTTTAGCTGGGCATTTACTGAATGAGCACTGTGCTATGTCCCAACTGATTGCACTGTATTTTATGTATCATTTTCTATTCTTAACTGTTTTAATTCATTTTAAATCAATTTTTAAATCAGTTTAAAATTTAAATTCCTAGACTTTTATTGTAATTATTTTTTATGATTATTTTATTTCCTTTTATGTAAAGCACTTTGATTTACCATTGTGTATGAAATGTGCTATATAAATAAACTCGTCTTGCCTTGCCTTATAACATACAGCTAGAAACCACGTGCAAGTCCTTCTGAGGCAGAACTAGTCACTGGATCAGGGATCTCCAACCCTGCTCCTGAAGTTCAGCTCCAAACCCAATCAAACACACCTGCACCAGCTAATCAAGGTGTTCAGGTTTACTTGATAATTACAGGCAGGTGTGTTGGAGCAGGGGTGGAACTGAAGTCTGCAGGACGGTAGCTCTCCCGGAGCAGGGTTGGGGATCCCTGCACTGGATTTTCCAAAGTTTACAAGGTTAGTGTAAACAATCTATGTTTATTTGAATTGAACGTTACATCAAATCTTAGAAAGATGTGGAGATTTTTGTTTCAATAGCACAAGTCTGAACATTACATTTGTTTTATCTTAGCTATATTTGGGAAATAAATTGTACTTGCTACTTTTGGAAGAACAAAAATCCTTATCACAAGACTCTCCACACTGATGCTTCTGATTCTCATGAAAAACCTTTGGATTTGTTGTAGACTGTGGTCCATGACAACTCATACCCGTATCAGAATCTCCCAGCAGAGTCCTCTTGATCCTGCAAGACTCCCGCTTGCTGTTTGTGACCTCCATCTGGTTGAAGTCCACCGTGTAGGTCTCGCCGTTCTCCTGGTACTGGAAGCTCTTCTCTTTGCGGTAGATGGTGAGCTCTATGTCATAGCTGATGCCGGGCTCCAGTGACTCCCAGCGGTCTCCTCTAGCCACCTCCCAGCACAGTGTCTCCCGCAGACACTTCACCTCACCTTCACGCATCTCTCGTTCTCGCACTGCCTGGATGAAGCTGTTTATCTTCAGCACAGCATCTAAGACGTCGTCTCTCTTCCCTGATACTGTTAACTTACCCGAACTGGCCACCAGAACGCTGATTTGATTGGCTCGGCTGAGGGTCATGATGGCCTTCTTGTCCGTTTCAGGAAGGTCTGTGATGTGGCTAAACTGGACGTCTATACTGAAGCACTCCTGCTTGCCCAGCTCGTCCAGGAGATTCTTGACCTTGGTGAGGTTTGTAGGGGACGTCCTGTAAATGTTAATGGCCATAACCGGGAACGATACAGCGGCCGTTTCTTTGGCTAGACAAATAGCTGGTCGCTGTGTCAGCACAGGGATCACCGATTGCTGGAGGGGTTTGACCTGACGCACTGTTCAGGAAACACAAGTTAAAGTAACCGGGTTAGTTCCAGCTCATTCTTCACACTGTACATTCATGCACTGAAACATACCAGAAGCATTTTGAAAAATCTTCTTGCACTTCTTGATAGCTTCCTGAAAGTCTGGCAGCAGTTTCGCTTGGAAGATCACAAGGTGGACGCGCTTCAGGTGTTTCGGTGAGTCCTTCATAAAGTTAGTCAGAGCTTCTGTCATTGCATTGGCAACTCCTGCAGCAGCCAAGTTTCCTGCTCCTGAAGGACATTAAGCATTTTAGGATCATCCAGATACCTTTGCTTGGCTTTGCTTATCTGTATTTCTGAATGGACTAAATTGCCTGCTCCAAGAGCTTGGAATGAAACCGACTGAATCTTATTTTCTTCGCACATCCTCAGAACTTTGTACATGGAACTGCTGATGCCTTTCTCATTGGTCTGCCCAACCATATGAATGATGTGTTTGATATTTGAAAGATTTCCAGCTTTGGTCAGGCGCTTTAATCAGGAGAGAATGAATGAGCAATTATTCTGTTGTAGCAGGAGAGTCCAGTTCTGCTCCTGGAGGCTCACTGCCCTGCAGAATTTATCCCCAGCCTCAACTAAACACACCTGAACCAAGGTAATCAAAGGTTGTCAGGATTACTAGAATCTTCTGGACAGGTATTTTGGGACAAGTTGGAGCTAAACTCTGCAGGATATTGGCCCTCCAGGACCAGGATTGAACACCGTCGTGTTAGAAGTTCATCAGAAATGCCTATATTTATGATTATTGACTGAAGCTGAAGGTTGTACCTTTTGATTTCCACTCGTTCACCACCGTTTGTCCTGATGCTTTGAGAATGGCTCCTGATACACCTGCACATAAGGACATACACTAGATCTGAGCACCACTTCCAATTAGTTATTCAGCTGCCACTCTTCCTGTGTCATGTTAGGGTTAGGAAAATGTCTGGAAAATAACAGTTCATCAGATTCAGAGCGATATCAAAAGCAAACTCACCCGTGTTGAAATCGAGGCTTGTCGTCGTGCTGTTTACAATGGCCTCGACAGTCTCTTTGGTGATGTCTCCGCTAAACACCCTGACTTTAACCGGGCCCATCATTACCTCCACTGGGTTTGCTGGTGAAATGTAAACATTTTAGCAAATTTCAAAGACCTATAACAGCATATTTTCAAAAGGTCATCAAATGCTGCATTACCGTTGGCTCCTTTGTCAGACGAGGAGCTTTCTTCTGTTGAGCTGTAATCCTCCCACTCATCATCTTCACTGTCCTAGTTGTGCGTTGATGTTAATTAAATGTTGAAGTGCAAAAGCATTTACATTTGATATATCAGAAATCTTTTCAAGTGTCCTTCAATTCTGAATGATCAACTCTATTCAGAACTGGGTTAAGGTTCTCTACCTGTGTATTCGCAATCCATGTTTTGAGACCTTTCTGAAACTCTTGTAGGACGTTGTCCCGGTCAATCACAAAGTAGATGAGCTTGATCACAGTCGAGATGTTTTGAGCCAGATGATCTTCAAAGCCCTGCAGCATCGCACCGATGGCATCCTCACCTTTAACAAAAGCCGTCAGACGGAGTGAGACACAACCTAGGACGTTGTCCCGGTCAATCACAATGTAGATGAGCTTGATCACAGTCGAGATGTTTTGAGCCAGATGATCTTCAAAGCCCTGCAGCATCGCACCGATGGCATCCTCACCTTTAACAAAAGCCGTCAGACGGAGTGAGACACAACCACACATGATGACCAACACATGCCACATTCAATGCCATCATAAATCCATACCAGTGCCCACGGCAGGGAAGGAGACCGTGGTGATCTGCTTCTCCTCACAGAGCTCCAGAACATTCTTCACGCGGGATCTCACCTCTGCCGCCGAGTGCGGACCGACCATGTGAATGATGAAGTCGCAATGCAGGTTTCTGCCGCTGGTCACGGCTGCAATGTCATTCTGCAACGGACCTTCAGGACGGAATTTGTTTAAAGAGAGAAATTTGTTTACCAGTCCTTGACATTCAGTGTCAGTGCAGCCTCGTGTCTATGGCCAAATCGTAGCCGTGCTGATATCCAGAACATCTCTTGCTCTTGCAATTTTTAGTTAACAAGGTTTCAGTATTTGGTGTAATGTTCTCACCGTGCTTTTGGCACTCCTGCTCCACAGACGCTCCAGCCGCTTTAAATATGGCACCCGACACGCCTGAAGGACAAGGATACTTTTGAGATTGTCAAGGTGGGACACACTGAACTGGTCACACTTTAAAATTGCCACAAACACACACTGTTGTGTTTCGGTGTAGATCCATGGCTTATTTTAAAGCAGTGGTTCCCAACCCTGGGGGCTCCAGGAACATGTTTGGCAACTACTTTTTTAGAGTAACTGATGTGTTGATATAAAAGTGTCCAGCTTGTGTGTTTTAAGTCTTGCAGACCTCCTCTCAGGCTCATGTCCATGTTGGTGGTGTTTACGATCCCGCGGACCGTTTCATTAGTGATGTCACCTTTCTTTACCTCGATTCTGATGCTTCCAATTTTGACTATGGAAGATGAGAGAGATTTCAAATGTAAACACTTAATATTCACACCTGGAAATATCAGAACGAAGACCTGAAAAGAGGTTTATGATGTATTTGAAAAACTAGAGCATATTTATTTGTGGTTCAGCATGGAAAGGTAGAGCTGTCAGAACCTTGATTTTCAGGCATCTTGCCGGATGCAGGCTGAAGAAAAACCAATGTAACAAAATTAAAACCTTAAAAAAAAAAAAATCTGGACATTATTATGTTATATCATCAGCATTAACCTTATTCCATGCTTTAAAATGGTCACGAAAGTCATCAAAGGTCTTCTGTTCAAATGCCACTATAGTGATGCTCCGGAGGCAGGATGAGTTCGGCTCCTTAAGATGTTTCTCGAGTGCTGTGAAGATGGCTTTGATCGATTCTTTCGGGGCAAAGCCACCACGTCCTGCAGAGAGCAAGATTATCACTCAGGGCTTGATACTTCCTCACAGCGCTTTGAGAGAATATTTTTAAATGTCAGAAACTCCTGACCACGTCTCCGTGTCAGGAGAATTTACAGTAAATATAATAATAATAATACCTTCAAGCTATTCAACGTTCTACATGCTTTAGCATGAAAGGTAAAAGTATAGTGATTTGAGTCAGTTTAGTATTGATGCTGCAGTAAAGAAACTTACCAGTGTTAAGATCTAAACTTTTGTTGGTTGAATTCACTATAACATCCACCGTCTCTTTGGTGATATCACCCTCTTTCAGGCATATTGGCACACCATTGATCAGCACTGAGTGAATTCCCAGTCATGCGAAAACAAAAGTACATAAGCGACTTCAGATGAGGTCTAGGAAACATGGTGACCAGAAGTAGTGAAATTACAAAAGCAGGTATATACAAAATACCTCTCGTGTCTGATCCGTGTTTTAGCTTCAAGGATTGTAGGGGAACCGTTGTAGATGTGTCAGGAAATCCCTGTTAAGAAATTAAACGGGTGATGGTTAAGAAAACATGCTAAACACTGTTAATAAACGTTTGCATAGGAGGGATCATACTAGTTCCTGGATCAGAGCATTGTACTCCTCAACGATCTTCTCGTCTGATTCCACTATACTGATGCGTCTGATGTTTTTAGGAGAATTCTGACGGTCGCTGCAGAACTGCAGTACAGCGGCTCGGAGTGCCACGCAGCTGTCTTTGACAGAGAAGCCGAAGCTTTCACAACCGACTGCTGGGAGTGCAATCGAGGCGCATCCTTTTCCTTCAGCTTTCAGGAGACTGTTATACACGGCTGACTGAAGGTAGTGAGAGTCCAGCCTCTGTTCTTTCTGAGGCAACACGGCATAAATGAGCGTCCCGGTGTTGAGTTTCCCAGCATCACTGAGCACCACGTCTCCAGGCAGAAGACTCTGCTGTTGCTTCTGCTGAGTTTTACACACCTCTGAAAGAAAAGTACATAAGCAACTTCTAACCCTTCAGATGAAGTTTAGGAAACATGGTGACCACTTGCAGTGAAATTACTATAGCAGGTAAATCTGCACAGTACCTCTCGTGTCTGATCCGTGTTTTAGCTTCAAGGATTGTAGGGGAACCGTTGTAGATGTGTCAGGAAATCCCTGTTAAGAAATTAAACGGGTGATGGTTAAGAAAACATGCTAAACACTGTTAATAAACGTTTGCATATAAGAGGGATCATACTAGTTCCTGGATCAGAGTGTTGTACTCCTCAACGATCTCCTCGTCTGAATCCACTATACTGATGCATCTGATGTTTTTAGGAGAATTCTGACGGTCGCTGCAGAACTGCAGTACAGCGGCTCGGAGTGCCACGCAGCTGTCTTTGACAGAGAAGCCGAAGCTTTCACAACCGACTGCTGGGAGTGCCATCGAGGCGCATCCTTTTCCTTCAGCTTTCAGGAGACTGTTATACACGGCTGACTGAAGGTAGTGAGAGTCCAGCCTCTGTCCTTTCTGAGGCAACACGGCGTAAATGAGCGTCCCGGTGTTGAGTTTCCCAGCATCACTGAGCACCACGTCTCCAGGCAGAAGACTCTGCTGTTGCTTCTGCTGAGTTTTACACACCTCTGAAATCTCGTCTCCTCCGAACTGGAGAAAGCACTGAGCCACAGGGTTACTGAAAGCTAGATTGGCATTCATTGGACAGGTCAAAGCGTCGGCTGTGAAATGGTGCAGGTCTCCTTCTGCGATACTCAGAGTCATGAAGTTGCCTATTTTGTGTGTGAAGCTCTTTGGAGGGCTGGATTTGACCACATGCTCTTGTGATAAATACAGACTGCACTGCATCTCCTCAGCTTTGGTCTTCACGTTGGCTTCATGTTTCTCCAGAAACTTTGCTTCTCCTGCTTTGCTATATTTATGGCTCTCCATAAGAATGGATGAGCTCTGCTGCTGTACGACACGCACCGCGTCTTTGATATTGTCTTTAGCTGCTGTGATCTTCAGACAAGGGCAGTTTGATGTTCTGTAAGCGAGTACCGTCGAGCCGAGGCTCTTGAGTTCTGGGAGCTCGGACAGATTCAGGCAGGACTCCACAAATTCAGCTTCTCGCACAGATTTCAGAGGGACGTTCTCAGTTGTCGGTTCCTTGTTGTCCAGATATCTCTTCACTTTTCCGGTAACATCTGCAACTGCACTGGAAAACCCACATATTATAACCTCATTATTTGATTGTGCGATCCTGATGTCGTGAGCTTTCTGGAACGATTCTATGTCATCTTGAAGATTCCTGAGAAAGTGTGTCCACGTGTCACCGGTCTGATTGGGAGAAAGCTGTATAACCTGCTCTTTGAGAATCTCTCTTATTTTGTCTTCAGCTCTCTTCAGGTTTTCTTTCTCAACTAAGATACCAAAAAAATCCTGTCGCTTTAAAAGTCTAGCTGGAATGTGGCTTGGGAGAAAATAGTCTTGCTCAAACTTTTCAAGATCCAGAGACTTCAGAAAGTGACTCAGATGTGAAGAAAGCTTCAGCTGGTGCTTGACGATGTTCTTCTGCGCTTGCTTGATGAGCATCTCCACTGAATGTACTTGATCTTTCAGACCTCTGAGGGAGATGATGTGCTGCTTCTCATCATGTGATAAACTCACCTGCCCTAATCTGGACTCCACACGCTCTTTTATTAAATCAAACGTCTCTCTGCAGTCTAGTTGGATGTCCACCTCGGCTGTGTTTCTTTCCACTTCCACCTCAGCAGCAGTGTTCTTCAGGAGCGTCGTGATCTTGTCTGACAGGACCTTCACCTCCTCTTTCACTCCAGCAATCACAGCTTTAGAGTGGAGCTCCCTGTAGGAGAGCGCCGTGTCGAGCGTGATGAGACAGTTACAGTCGTTCTCCGCTCTGGTCCAGACGTCCTTCTCCGCCGGCAGCTCTGCTGTGTCATATCTGCTCAGAAACGACTCTGCTTCTCTCATTGTCTTGGACTCCCACGTGGGAGCGATCTGCAGCGCAGCCAGCGACTCTTTGTTGACGTCCATCTCCAGAATCAGTTCATTTGCTGCGGCGGAGCTGTCAATAAGCACTTTGGCGTGAAGCAGTTTGGCCTCGTTCTCCAGTTGTTTTCTGCATCGCTCATTGGTTTCAAAGAAACGGAGCAGCTCTTCACTGACAGGAACGTTCACTTTCGTGGATATTTTATCAGTCAGGGTTGGTTTTTCTCCAGTTAAAGCCTTTTGTAAACTTGAGTAGAACAGTGAAGCGTGAACTTCTGTGCCGCAAACATTGTGTGTTTGTTCCACCACTGCATGCGCATCTATTACAATAGAAAAGACGGGTTACATTTTCAAATAAATTTTGTTCTGTATATTTTAGCCCTTGTGCTGTTTTGAAAACCCTTCACCTAATTTGGTGTTTTCAGTCAAAAATGACTGGCCTTATAAATTGCTTCTAAATCTCTCATTATATTATATTATCGCCAAATCTTGAATTTCGGGTACGTTTACACGACATCGATGTTCTAAAAATTTATATGTTTTTCCTTTCATTTTTTTGCGTACTGATGACAACATTGTCAAAAACGATCCCCGTTCACACTGATCTGCAAAAACGTCTTTTTATGCTGTATTATTCATGCCAGGCCAGTAGCTGATGTCACGTACATACATGCGAACACACACGTACCTATAGACTGAACACGTGATACACATGCGCAGGTCACCCTTTTCACAAATTCTTTCACAAATTTTGTAGTTTACACAGTTTGCATTATCAGGTCCCCAAAACACTGTTGTCGTGTAAATGTCCAAAATGCATAAAAAGCTTACAGTTTTTAATTGAAACGGTGTTGTGTAAATGCCCCTTTCATCTTTTTATCAGCTTGTTTTCTTTCAATTAGCACAGGTTTTGTGTTTCTTTTTGGAACCAACAGATTGCAGGCCTCATTGATCTGAGTCTTGCTGATTCATCTGGCCAGAGGAGAACTGAGCCTGGTTTCTCCCAAGGTTTTTCTCCATTCTGTCACCGATGGAGTTCTGGTTCCTCTGGCTTGCTTAGTTGGGGACACTTCATATCCAGCGATCTCGTGGACTTGATTGCACAGATACTATTTAAACTGAACTGAGCTGGATGATCACATCACTGAACTCAATGATGAACTGCCTTTAACTGAACATTGAGTGTTTACTATTGTCCTTCTGCATTATCGACACACTATTTTCCTAATTAATGCTGTAAAGCTGCTTTGACACAATCTGTATTGTTAAAAGCGCTGTATAAATAAAGGTGACTTGACTTTTTGAGTGAAAAAAGCAGTAACTGGATAATTTTGGCATGCACAGTGCATGTGCTCTCAGTTCATTTGCTGCGGCGGAGCTGTCAATAAGCACTTTGGCGTGAAGCAGTTTGGCCTCGTTCTCCAGTTGTTTTCTGCATCGCTCATTGGTTTCAAAGAAACGGAGCAGCTCTTCACTGACAGGAACGTTCACTTTTGTGGATATTTTATCAGTCAGGGTTGGTTTTTCTCCAGTTAAAGCCTTTTGTAAACTGGAGTAGAACAGCAAAGCGTGAACTTCTGTGCCGCAAACATTGTGTGTTTGTTCCACCACTGCATGCGCATCTATTACAATAGAAAAGACGGGTTACATTTTCAAATAAATTTTGTTCTGTATATTTTAGCCCTTGTGCTGTTTTGAAAACCCTTCACCTAATTTGGTGTTTTCAGTCAAAAATGACTGGCCTTATAAATTGCTTCTAAATCTCTCATTATATTATATTATCGCCAAATCTTGAATTTCGGGTACGTTTACACGACATCGATGTTCTAAAAATTTATATGTTTTTCCTTTCATTTTTTTGCGTACTGATGACAACATTGTCAAAAACGATCCCCGTTCACACTGATCTGCAAAAACGTCTTTTTATGCTGTATTATTCATGCCAGGCCAGTAGCTGATGTCACGTACATACATGCGAACACACACGTACCTATAGACTGAACACGTGATACACATGCGCAGGTCACCCTTTTCACAAATTCTTTCACAAATTTTGTAGTTTACACAGTTTGCATTATCAGGTCCCCAAAACACTGTTGTCGTGTAAATGTCCAAAATGCATAAAAAGCTTACAGTTTTTAATTGAAACGGTGTTGTGTAAATGCCCCTTTCATCTTTTTATCAGCTTGTTTTCTTTCAATTAGCACAGGTTTTGTGTTTCTTTTTGGAACCAACAGATTGCAGGCCTCATTGATCTGAGTCTTGCTGATTCATCTGGCCAGAGGAGAACTGAGCCTGGTTTCTCCCAAGGTTTTTCTCCATTCTGTCACCGATGGAGTTCTGGTTCCTCTGGCTTGCTTAGTTGGGGACACTTCATATCCAGCGATCTCGTGGACTTGATTGCAGACACTATTTAAACTGAACTGAGCTGGATGATCACATCACTGAACTCAATGATGAACTGCCTTTAACTGAACATTGAGTGTTTACTATTGTCCTTCTGCATTATCGACACACTATTTTCCTAATTAATGCTGTAAAGCTGCTTTGACACAATCTGTATTGTTAAAAGCGCTGTATAAATAAAGGTGACTTGACTTTTTGAGTGAAAAAAGCAGTAACTGGATAATTTTGGCATGCACAGTGCATGTGCTCCGATCAATGAGGCCTACGATTGGTCGGTTCCAAAAATAAATGGAAAACCTGTGCTCACTGAAAGATAACAAGTTGACAAAAAGATTGAATCCAAGTTTTGGTAATAATTTAGCATAATGAGATTTATTTTCATGGAAAAAGAAAATCCTCTCTAGGTCAAAATGACTGGAACTCAATATGAAGGTTAAATTACTGTTGCACAGTATTATTAGTTATCTGAAACTTATTTTTAGATCTAATCTTCTCTCCTCTTCTGTTTGTGCTGAATCTAAATCTAAATGTTTCATCTTTGCAAACGATCTGAAAAGCTACCGTCACAGTTTCCGAAGGTGATGGCCGCGCTCTTTCGTCTGTTGATCCAGATGAAGGACTGGACGTCTCCTCCTCCGCTCCTCTTCTTGTTGCTGAAGTAAAGAGTGAGAACATCTTCAGTGAGCTTCTCCAAGTCTCCCTGGACCAGAACCGAGTCCGTCCGCTCCGCACGGGTCACTCCGATGTCTCGACCCTGCAGCTGCCTCCAGGTGCATTTCCGTAGAAATGACGTCACATCTGATGATAAAACCAGAAGGAAAGTGGACCATGCATTGAGTGTGTTCATTTTCCTCAATTCAGTCTTAGTGTTTATTTGAATGGTTGACCACAGCAGTCGTTAATGATCACAACTGATCAGATTCTTGAAGCATTACTTTTCACGTAATACTTTTTGATATACAGGATTTGATTAGTCCGTGTAGATAGATAGAGAAAATAAAATGTAAAAGGTCGTTCTCAGGCCCAAAACACAGCAGAGCGGCCACCCAGAGCTTCCAAACCCACCGATATCGTGTTTGAAGCTGACAACGATCCTATCTTAACCCTAATCCTCCTCAAGCGTCTCCCAGGTGTGCTCTGTGGTCTTGCTACAGCTGCCGATGAACACTGAGATCATCCTGCAGTCTGTGGCTCCATCAAAGCCAGTCAAGATGAAGCGGCGCGGTCCAGCTGCTCTCCCAGACCTCCTGCTTTATACACTGCTGTTATACCAAACCCATGCTCTTTCTGGCCCAAAATCTGCTCTAAATCTGAGAAAAGGGTCAATATTATTAGATTTGACCTTTCTGATCTCCAAGATGGAGTAAAGTTGATTTCATCATGGTTTGCTTTTATTTTTCCCAGTTGAGTGTGCGTTATGTAATGATTTGGCCTGCATCATGTGTAAGTGTTGCACAGAAATAGACTTGCTAAACCAGTTTGCTGTGTGGGCAAGATGAGAACTTGGGTGAGGTTTGTCCAAGAAGTTGCTATATTTGTCTCTAAACTTTTGAAGAAAGTCTCGGGGAAGTCGCTAAATCTAGCTACAAAGTATTAAAACCAACACACAAAAGCTATCTTATAAAAGCCCCATAACACGTCTCCACTCGCAGATGATCCGGATCACTTCTGAAGGGGTTTCAGCGCAATCTGACTCCGGTAGCCTACTTTCACTTTCGCTTCAGCTCGATACCAGTCGAGATCAGGAAGCTGGGAGGGCAACAGTAAGAGGAGAAGACCTCTCTCCGATCACTTACTCATTCCGCAAGCATTTAGTGGTTTGATTCGGGATTTATCCGAGTTCACACTCACTTCGGATTCTCTCGGTCTCGGGTGAATCATGTCCGACGCCGATGAAACTCCAGCCGTGGGCGAGGTACGTGTTTACAGCAGCAGGTACACACGCTTTGGAGATGCCCAGGTGAATTCTGTTTAATGTTTCATCGCTGCTTCTTTCTTTGGTGAACACCTTGTGTGTGTGTTCGTGTGTGAATCCAACAGCTTCGAGCGGACGCGAGCGACACTGCGGCGGAAATCCAGAAATACAAGGTGAAGAACTCTTCTGCATCACGGAGGGCCAGTTAGTTTGGCATTCATTAGACTTTCGGGTTTTCTGCCAATTAAACTGTTTGCAGCTTTTATGTTTCGAGCCCAAACTAACTCAGATAGACATAAACATGTGCCCTTTATGTTGCACAAGGCTTGGTTTTCCAGATTATGCCTTTACTGTTTTTATATACAGTACTGAAACCATATCTGTCATGTTTTATATACTGTACCCACTTAAATATTAATTAATATAAGTGGGTACAGTATATAAAATGTTTGAAAAATATGGTTTCAGTGCTATATATAAAAACAGTAAAGGCATAATCTGGAAAACCAAGCCTTGTGCATCATAGGGAATAATATTCTGAATATGTTACAGTTGGTTTGATAAAATCTGAGCTGTAACGGAGTAATAACTCTCAAAATGCTCTGTGAAATGCAGATAGAAGCCAGAATCCCAGTGAAAACAGTGAAGTTTGCTCGTGTGCTGGAGAGTGAGGAGGCCGAAGATCAGGTGGAGTCTAAGTTCACCGTCACACAAACATCTTCGTTTCTGCTGAAGAGTGGCCAGGCGCTCATCACCTTTGAGGAGGAGAAGGGTATGGATGCAGATCTAACGGAGTCATGCACTGCAGGAGTCTTTACGCTTCCGTGTTTAGGAAGACGTCTGTTTTTGTCAGGTTTAATCGCATTGATGTTTCTCGTAATGTGTCTTTCAGTGGCGGAGCAGATCCTCCGACTGGCCAAGTGCTCGGTGGCCTGTGACAGAGCCAAGATGGACGTGAAGCCGTACGCTTTATCTCTGGATCCCTCCGTGAAGTTTGAGGTGGAGCCATCCGAGAAGCTTCTTCTCTACTGTGTCCAGAGTAATGTGCTGTCTGTCGACGTGAGCCGCTGTTAATCGCTGTACTTCTGCTCGTTCAGGTTCATATCCAGGTGTCAAAGAAGAGCGTCAGGTTCTGTAACGCCCCGCCCACTTTACCTGAGGAGCGAATGAGAGACCGGCTGGAGCTGTCGTTCTCCAGAGCGAGTCGCGGCGGAGGGGAAGTGGAGAAGCTGGAGTACCACAAGGATACGGGCTCGGGCCGCGTCACTTTCCTCAGCACCGGAGGTGTGTCTGTGTGCAGTGTCTGTGCTCTTAATGTGTGTTTCCTGAAAGCTCTCAGTTCATCATGGTCTTAGGTTTATTATAATTCACTTTAGGTTTTTCAGATCGATTGTTCAAAGCTTTTACTGTCATATGCATAGAAATTAGATTAATTTGAATGAACACCTCTGTTCATCAACAGCTGCTCGCATTAAATTCAAGGCATTAGTGTTTGCCTACAAAACCAGCACTGGCTCTGCAGCCATTTACCTAAATTCATTACTTCAGAGTTATGTGCCTCTAGAAGCTTGCGTTCTGCAAGTGGACGTCGCTTTATTGTTCATCACAAAGAGGCACAAAATCACTTTCACAGACTTCTACATCAACTGTTCCCTCCTGGTGGAGTGACCTGCCCAACTCAATCCCAGCAGCTGAGTGCTTAGCTGTCATCAAGAAACGACTAAAAACACATCTGTTCCATCTTTATTTGACCCTCTAACTCTAGCACTCTCTATTCTAATTCTATTCTTTATATAAAAAAACTTGCCCCTTTTAGACTTGCAAAAAAATAAAAAATAACACTAGCTTCTCTTCTTTTTATTCTTTTTGTATTATATTTGTTTTATTTTTATTTATTATGCAATTAACAAAAAGCAAAAAAGGTCTCTAACTCTAGCTTGCTCTATTCTTTTTCTATTCTATCTGTTTTCTGTTTATTTATTATATAAATAAAAATACCTTGCTATGTGTGCTGCGTTAAGCTAACTGAGACTTGTCATAGCACTTGCGTATCATTGCTCTTTTGCTGGTTTGGATTGCTTCTGTTGTCCTCGTTTGTAAGTCGCTTTGGATAAAAGCATCTGCTAAATGACTAAATGTAAATATGCACATTTCCCAGCACAATTCAATTCTTAATAGGGATGGGCGATAGCACTTAATTTGTTTTCGATGCGATACGATACTTTTAAAGGGCAGTATCGTCGATATCGATACGATACTTCTAAACTGAACTTTTAAATCATGACGTTTATTAAATTATTAAATTACTAAGAGTAAAATGGGTAATAATGCCCACTTAACTTTATATTTGAAACGCATTTTAACATTCAATATGCCTTAATTGCTACTTATTAGGTTGTATTTTTATTTACACATGGTTAAATATTGTTTACTGTTATGATAACCATGGAAATCTACAAATACTATAGTTAAACTTTGGTCACTTTAGTAAAACCATGGTTTATTTTCATAAGGAACTGCAGTGAAAGGCTGTTGCACGCATAAAATGCAACCTTTTTATTCTGACCGTGTATGATTTATATTAACATTACAGAAAAGAACATGATCAATATGAACTTTTAATGTTTAATTTAAATAAATATAATTGCACAAACTATGTAGGCTACAATTTCAATTATTTTATTGTGAAATAACTCAAACACACATGTGTTTTCTGTCCGCTCATGAGCATTATTCTGGGCTGCCGTTCCCAAAAGCATCAGTGCTTTCTTATGACACTTTTTGGGAAAGGCAGCCATGTTTGAAAAAAAATCACTGGTAAATAAAACACACCTTGGTATCGATATTTTTTTTTATTTCAGTAGCCAGTTGATACTTTCGATACTTGCATCAGTATGCATATATATCGATACTTCAGGACACTTACTTCAAATTTAAGGCCATAAAAAGTCTTCAATTGTACAAGAAAGTCTCAATTATGATTTCAAGAGGTCTTAAATTTGGGGACAGAAAGACCAGAATTGCGATACGGCTGAATGTGACGATTAAACTTCAAAAGGCTATGATTTGATTGAATAAATATGAGCGCTGCGCTGCTTTGTGTACAGTACTGTCGTTACCAGGAAAACTGTTATATTTCTGCCGTTCCGAAAGCGCAGAGAATGAATCTGCATTTTCAATAAACCCATCTGCTGATTTTGTTCAGACCGATGTGAGAATCCACTCATGGATCAAACACGCAGAGCTGTAAATATGAGCTGGTGGAGCGACAAGAGGATCATGCATTATAAAAATCTAAACAGTAAAATGTATTTATATGTTGTTTAATTATTATAATAATTTATTGATGATAATCGTTTAAATTAAAATAATAATTAATACTTTTGATTTTCTTAAAAATGGTTTAAAGGCTGAAATGTGAAGTGTATTGTTTTATAAAACATTTTGTTTTTGTGAAAACTTGTATCTGAACTGTAAATCATGCTTACAGTCATTTTACAGTTTAATGTTACTATAGACGTTACCTTACCCCACTCATAAGGTGTTAATTTTATTTGTGCAGGTCTTAAA